TTCGAAAACCCCTGGAGCAAGAGAGACCCCGTCTTACTATAATAGAAAAGAATTTAATTGGCCAACTAATTATATATTAGAAAATTAGCCAGGCATGGCTGGCGCATGGCTGTGAGGTCCCAGCTATCGGGAGCTTGAGGCCAGAAGATTGTTGAGGGCCCAGGGGAGTTTGAGTTGCTGTGGAGCGAGGCTTATCCACTGCACTCATCTAGCCTGGGCCAACAAAGGCAAGACTCTGTCTCAAAAAAATAATAAAATAAAAATTTTTTAATCTGTCCAGGCATTGTGGCTCATACCTGGCAATCCTGGCACTTGAGGTAAGGAGGAGGAGTTACTTGAGCGTCAGGAGTTTGAGACAAGCCCTGAGTATTTGTGTGTCTCTTTATCTCTCTCTCTCATTATTATATATGTGTATTGTTATATATTTTTTATTCTTGTGTTGTGTCAACGGTAGTCCCAATGTACTTTGTGTGTGTTGTGTATTTAGTGTTTTTGTTTGAGACCAGAGTTGTTGTTGCTTGTGTGTTTATGATCATTGCCACTGCACTCTAGCCTGGGCAACAGAGTGTGAAACCCTGTCTGAGAAATATAAAAGAAAAGAGAAAAGAAAGAAAAGTCCTCTAAAACTTGGTAATAAGGCCAAAAAGCATGACTGTATATCCTTTCATGTTCATTCTGGAACATTGTCTAAAAGGCACATTCACAGAGGTATTTCACCATCTAGAGGGGAGTTTCTTTGTTTGACTTACCAGTTAACTACCGATCAGGGCCCAGACTTTGTGAGATACAACTTGTAGATTTTTGTCCAGGTAGGAATCGCAAATTATTTCTGCCTGTGAAAAGATATCTCAAAGGTTTACTGGTTTTATTGCCTGTATGACATAAACAGTTTTCTAATACGTAACCTAGCAATCTTATTCCAGGCCGCGCGGTGGCTCACGCCTGTAATCTAGCTCTCTGGGAGGCCGAGGCGGGGGATTGCGAGGTCGGAGTTCGAAACCAGCACTGAGCAGAGCGAGACCCGTCTCTACTATAAAACGAAAGAAATTAATTGGCCAACTAGCTATATATAAGAAAATTAGCCTGGGCATGTGTGGCTCATGCCTGTAGTCCAGCTACTTGGGAGGCTAGCAGAGGAGTCGCTTGCCCAGGAGTTTGAGGTTGTGTGAGCTGAGGCTGACGCCATGGACTCACTCTAGCCATAGGCAACAAAGCAAGACTCTGTCTAAAAAAAAAAAAAAAATCTTATTCCAATATTCTTTTCTCAGTGCACTATAAAGTACTCAGTTTCTTCAAATGCTCTTTGAATCCATTTTTACCATCCTGCTGGTTCCCTTATTAATATGTTAAAATAAATCTCTGACATGTGTTCATTCTTATATTTGCATAACAGTCATGTTTTCCAAACTTTTTGGAAAAAAATCATTACTTTGGCAATAAAGTCATACTCCAGGAACCTGATGTAGCAGAGTATCACAGATCAGGGGACTATATCAGAGGTGTTCCACTAGAAAAAAAGCCTCTATATTCCATTCCAGAAGGGTGAAAATATTAAAGAGACAAATAGGAAATATACTTAAAAAAGTCAGAATTGTAAGAAATAAGTGAAAAACAGTTGGCAGGACTGAATTTGATGATCAATACCCCAAACAAGCATTCGGTTTTTTCTCCCCTCATCTCTCTCTCTTTCCCTAAAGAACACATGATGATTGATTCATTTGTTTTTGCTCCTTGGTGCCTCTCACTGATTTTTTAGAGGAACCTTCTGTAACTCAAGGATTAGACAAAAATAAGCCCAAGCAATGCCCTGGAGGTTTGGAAAAGACACACATTAAAAGGGGGTTGGGGATGGGATGGATGTGGCTAATCCTAGCCCCTTTCAGCTACATACTTGGATTCTTTCCCAAATTTAGGCACAGGGGGATTCCTGAGGAGTCTTACTTACAGGCCA